TCCTTCTACCATCTCTTTGAAGGCAAATATTTTTACTACTGTTTTGCTTTATTCTGATTAATGGTACTGTTCTGTTCAATATTGTTTTGATAAGTTCTATAGTGTTCTGTATTTCATTTTATTTTGCTGTATGTGATTAAAAGAACAACTATTGTGAAGATAACAAGTTATACTGTGATACTTATTGCTGTTATCCCGGTAACCTGCTGTGAAGTTCTGTACCAATTTCACTCAATTGGTTTTGTTCTGTCTTGTTCTTTTGTATTTTATTACCTTCAAAATAATTATTTAAAAAAAAGAACCTGGAGACCAACTACTCAAATTCCTATCCTAGTGCTGCCCCTTACTAGCTACAGAGCCCACTGTGTCCCAGTTTCCTTAAAGAGGATCAGTGTAGTACACACTTGACAGAGATGAGGACTAAATATATTTCCCTATGTGAATCAGACACATCATCTGTTTTTGTTTAGCTTTTATTGACACTAAAGTTTTACTATATATATATCTATTATTTGTGTTTATCCCCAAGAAAACCCCTACCAAAGTTTCATGAAAAGTAAAGAGAATACATTATCCAAATAGGTTTCACTTACTTGAATTAAAAATAGGAAAGACATCTTGGAGACAGAGTCATATTGTAAGCATAAATGTTAAAGCAGTCTCCATTTATTCTAGTGTAAATTTAATATTCAAGTTCTCTGGCACTAAGCATTATAAGAAGCTCTTCAGAAAAACTAAAATCTCTCCTTTACAGAGTCTTATTTTGCACATTTGCAAACCCTACGTTCAGAAAGAGGGAACACCGGGCAGCGCACCTGGACCCCACACCCGAGGCAGATGGGCTTGGGATTGCAAAGCCAAATGCAGTGATGAACAGCAAACCTCAGGGAGAACCGTGGTAATGAACACCTTGAGGCGAGGGTTTGGCATCCTCACGCTGCGCAATCAAAACTGTAGACGCTTTAAGGAATACAGATTTGATGTTTTTAGTATAGCTTTTAATATAGCTCTGAGTACACGCCAAATACTCTTCTAAAGAAGTGCGTCATGCTTACTCAGCAAACTGGTTCACAGTGAAAGATTTTAAATCCCTGGAAGCAGTCACGCTCCACACAGTAACGCAGCGGCCAGCACACACACTTGGGGAGAGAAGCTTCTCTCTGCTCTGCCAACCCCTGGGTTCCAGGACCGGCTCACCTCAGCTGAGCACCTGGATGCTGGCACACAGTCAGAGTGGGGCTTTGGCCATCCGGGGGGAAGTGACTCAGGTCAATTCCACGTCATCAAAGCCTGAAGTTCCACGACTCCGGAAGGCTTTTGCCTTTTTAGCACAGATGACAGAGTGGTGACTGAGGGCAGCGTGACCCTAGGCTAGCACACCCAGGTCCTCAGCTGTGCGACGGGGCTGACGACTGCGTCTACTTCTTAGGGTGTTGTAAAAATTAAGTAAGGCAACAGATCTGTACATAAAGTCCTTGCCCTTAAAGTCCCCTGACAGAAAATGCCACCAGAAGGTGCGAAACACATGGCAGTGAGATGCTCAGTTATGCTGGTGTGTAAACTCGGTGGTGGAAAACCTTTTTCTTTTCCTTTTTTATGGCCACCAATTCTATGGGTCAAGAATTTCGGGAAGTTTTTGCAGGGTCTGTCAAAGCTGCAGTCAGAGGGTGGTGGGGGCCGCAGCTTCTGAGGGCTCAGCTGCTGAGGATGGGTGACGTGCTGTCCTCAGATACTGGCAGCTGGCGGTGGCTTCAGCTGGGACCGTCAACAGAAGCAGCTATGCGTAATCTCTCTGTGTGGCCTGATGGGCTTGGTCAATCTCTCCTCCTAGGGTTGGTCAGAGTTCTCACACCATCAAGAGCCCAAGGTGAGCTCTGAGCTGCATCTGGCAACCAGCTTTGGGAGTCCAAGGCATCGTTCTGCTGCCTTTTGTTAGTTAGGAGAGACTAAGGGAAGGGGAGGTAGATCCCACCTCTGGGGGGGTGGGGGCAGCGTCTAACAATTAGCAGGCATGGTAGGAACCTGCTATCTGAGACTGAAGCAAAATAGTACAGCCTTCAAAAGAAAACAGAAGCAAAACTGAAAATCCTGACCTGCAAAAGTCAGTGACCCATCATCTCTTATTTCCAGCTGTCTCCAGACCTAACCCTGTTTAGAATTAGCCCAGCTCAGTTTGAGAGCAGAGGAAGAACATAAACAGCAATTGTCAACTGCATCTTAAGCAAATCTGCATGATACCAAGTTACATTACCAACATCTGCAGGGCTTTATCCTATTAGATTATGAACTAGGCTGGGGACATAGCTCAATGGCACAGCGCCTGCCTGGCAAGCGCAAGGTCCTGAGTTCGATTCCCCCCCACGCCCCCAAAAAAAACGTAGACTGTACGCTGGGTTCTGTAACACAAACTGCACAACACAATGACTTCAGTGTGTGTCATGTTAACAACCCAGCCAGCTCCGACTGGCAAGGCACCACTGCTTTATCCTGACATTTAACAAACCAGGCTTGGTCCACGCCTGCCATCCCCTAAGCATTGTCCTCACTTGCCTGGGTGACAATGGCACACCTCGTTTCCAGTTTATGAAAGAAAAATGAGGTTGCCTCTAGAAAGGCAGCTTGCCTCAGAGTTAATTCGTACAAAACTGCATCCATTTCTCTGTGCAGCCATTGGCCCAAATGTGATCACATGACCACACCTTGCTGAAGAGGATGCTGGGAAATACCAGCTGGGCTGGAGAGCTACATTCTTCAGAATGGAGAGAACAAATCAGGGGAACAACGGTCTGTTCCAGGGAGGAGTGCATCACCACTAGGAGACTCAAATGCTTGCAGCAGCAGCGAGCTAATCAAATCATCTTTATCTCAACCAGTTTCATTATCACAAAGTCCATGTGCCACGTGGAACGGAGCCCGAACCAAAGGACACAGATTCTCCAAGACGCTAAATTTCCCCAGATTGCCAAGAACTCTTGCAAAAAGTCTGTACATTGAGAGTCAGCAACACCACTCCTCCCTGGCCTCTTGCATGTAAATTATAAATTATTAGAACCGTCCGGTGGCATCTTAGATCAGTAATGATAACCACGGCAGAGGAAAACAGCTTACAAATAACCCGAAGCGGAAATTGTTCCCATTTTCATCAAGACGAGGTGCTCATTTTCATAAATGCAGACATTTATGAATGGTGGTTCTAGGTTCTAGGTTCTAGGTTCTAGGTTCTAGGTGTAAAACAGGCTTTTCTCACAGCTGCTGCGCCCTGAATGGAACGGGCCCGAGTAAAAGGCGCCAGCTCCAGCCCTATAACGGGTGCGGTCCCTGCACCAGTGCGCTGCGGAACTGGACCGTGGACTGGTCACCATCTCCGACTGCCTTCGGGGGTCTCTTTAAACAGTTATCGTCCGTCTGGCCCTTATGTCCTCCTGTGTAAAATAACACTACTGCCTACGTACGCCTCACAGTGGAGGATGGGGAAATGTTTGCACTCAGTGAAACACAAAAATCACACTACACAGGGCAGAGGGACCCCTCGACTGGGCGTCTGGCCCGAGACACGCGGGGAAGCAAGCGGCTGAGCGGCAGGACTTCTGCGAGCGGAGAGGGAGGAGATGGTTTCGGTCTCGTCCCAGTCCCAGTGACTCAAAGCCAGGCGAGCCAACACGCCAGGAGCATCGGGTTGTAGCGCTGCTCACACAGGAGTCCGCGCAAACCAGCAAGGCAAGGGAACCGCATTGCACAGTTACAGAGGCGAGAGCGCAGCTTGCCGCACAAAGGCAAAAGAACTAAGGTGTGGCCAAGCCTGGGAGAAACAGCAAACGTTCTAAATGGAGTCAGTACTGGCCTCAAGTCAGTAAACGGGTCGGCCCCTCTCCGTCCCTCCAAAGGGAAAAAGGCTCCACGGCGGGGACAAGGACAACGAGGGGGCCACACACTCTGCGGCCCTGGCAGCAGCGGGAGGCGCCGAATGCGTCACTGCTGCTCCGGGAAGAGGTGGTAAGGGAAAGGGAAGCTGCGAACAGCTGTGGCGCGCTTGTCAGGTATGAATTTTATAAAACTCCGTCACATGCTCTGGCTCCACCATGTCCAGGACGCAGGCTAAAAGATGCGCCAAGCCCGGAGCTTCCGCAGGAAGAGCGCCAGGGGCCAGGCCGCTGCTGCTGGGCGCGGTGAGCCTGTGCGCCGCAGGGGCAGCATCGCGGGGACACGGGCTGCCCCTGCACATTGTCCGAGGGCCCCCGGAACCCGCAGGGAGCCCCGAGCAGCCTGCGTCAGGAGTCAGGAGCTCGTCTGGAGCTCAGCCTTGGGCGCGCCTGTCTGCTCAGGAGGGACACTTCCCGCGGAGCGGGTGAGCCCTGGGTCCTCCCGCAGACATAGGGCCCACGGCACACGGCACACGGCACAGCCTGCGGGCAACCATACCTCCTTCTAGGTTAAAGCACTGCAGCGTTCTGCCAAGCCTCCAGGTCAGCTCAGTGGCTAAGAATTTCCCTGAGCAGCTGCGTTTCCAGCACTGCCTTTCCCCGAGCTACGGACACCGCAGATCCACCGCAGATTGCTGCACACTCTGCTTAGAGCTGCTTACCTCTATCACTGAACTAACTGCTCACACAGGTGTGGCCACAGCGGAGGCACAGACCCTGATGCGGTCAGTGCTCTGTGTTTACAGTGAAGGTGGCACGAAATGCCACACAGCAAGCCCCCAACTGTTCTTTCCCTGCCGGGATCTAATGAGCTTCCTTGAGACCTCCCATGAGATGACAGCCAACTTCACTCCTATGTAAACCTCAAAGCCCCTCATGTGGGTCCCAGTGCCATGGCGTGACAAGCTGCTCCGAGAATTCATTTTCAGGTAGAAAAACCACTCAGGTCTCCCACCTTAAGTTGAGGAGAGACGGAGTTAGCAAATACTAAGGCCAGGACGCTGCAGCCAAGCAAGCTGGGGTCCCCAAGTCCTGCCACATGCATTTCCACATCAGCTGGAAACAGCCAAAAACCACGTGTGAAACCACTGTGATCACTTTTATTACAGCTTCAGGACCAACGAATAGCAGCGACAGGGTGGTCCCCGCCGCAGGCCCCGGTCCTCAGCAAGGACGAGGCTCGCACAGTGGTCCACACCTCACTCGGCCGGCAGCAGACTCAGAAGCGCACTTGGGGCCGGAAGTGCATCTGCTTGGTGGCGTTGTTCTGCATGCCCGTCTTCAGCAGCCACTTGGACTTCATCCTCTGGACGTACTGCATGTCCCGCTCTCGCGCCAGTGCCGCGCCTGCGGGAAAGGGCCCGTTAGCGCCACCGCGGTCAGAAGCTGTGGGCATCACCAGGGCTAGGGGATCTCGCAGGCAAGGGCGGCACCAATGTGGGGCTCCATGGGCCCGAACTGGGCCAGCGCCTCCGTCCACGCCCATTTCTCTAGCTAGGCATGTTAGCTCCATCACCCCAAAGGGCCTCGGGGCCCCCACTGAGCTAAGTGGGTGGGGCAGAACCCCCAAGTCAGGCGGACCCTGACCTCCACGTGAGGTCGTCCCGCAGGGTCCCAGCAACCTGCCACATGGGGCAGCCACACGCAGGTCACATGGAGCCCTTAACCCAGACTTTAAGCCTCGAGTTCAAGGTCTGCCTTGACCCCAAACGAGACTGGCTCCAAGAGAAATGAGGGCACCCCCTGGGGGCCCCTCTGTCTCCCGGACAGAAGCTTCTTTCCCTGACAGTACATTCTGCTCTTAACCTCCGCTGTTGCTACATTCACTCTGATTTCAGAGAACGGGAACTCCTGCCAGACATGGAGCAGGCTGGGAGCTTCTTCCCCACGTCACGTGGAGGTCGTCCACCGAGACAGTGGACCAAGGAAAGAGTTTGCTTTTGTTTCACAGATTCTGGACTGGGACTCATTAGGTAACAAACATTTTGTGCTCCCAATTTTGTTACATCTTTGCTCACTGCTTACCATCCTTCTGTCCCACCTGGTGCCTACCTTGTGGGTTTCCATGCCCCACCTCCTTGGACCCGCCTCACCTCATGATTCTGTTCTATAAAAATCCCTAGAAAAGCAGCGTCCTTGGCCACCCAGTAGGGGCCCCTTCTGTCTCATCAGACAGAAGCTTTCTTCCTCCAATAAACATATTCTGTTCTTAAAAGAAAGAGAGATGTATAAACCAAGAAAGAAAGAAAGAAAGAAAGAAAGAAAGAAAGAAAGAAAGAAAGGAAAGAGAAAGAAAGAAAGAAAGAAAGAAAGAAAGAAAGAAAGAGAAAGAAGGGAAGGAAGAAAGGATGGAGTGGGTTTTAGGCACCCGGTGCTTCCTAGACTCTCAGAGGGCAGCTCTTTCCTTATCTTCCCTCTGTCCCCCCGCTGATCTCACCTCTCCCCAAGACCTAAGGGTGCCGGCCTCATATGGTGCACTCATCGGAACCAGCAGTCCTGTGCTGAGCAGGCTGCAAAGCTCAGCAACTCCAGGGCCCGGCTTTAATCCCAGTTTTCTATGCAAAAACTGCTGAGGGGGCCTGAGGGCCAAGGCCCCGCGGTACACACGCTCCGCAGCTACAGAACCTCTCGCTCTAAGCCCCGGGTCCCTTAGTCAACATGCCAGGTAGCAAGCGAGGAAACAGAGGCTCAGACTAATTAAGTCACTTGTGCTTCTTGTGTGAGCCTCTAAGTGTCTCACCTAAGTCGTGTGCAACTCCACGGCTCAAGCTGTTCTCCACTGGGACGCCACTTAATTCCCCTGCCAGCCTTTAGGGAAGTTGAGCCTGTGGCGCTCACACAGAATTCTTTGCATCACTAACAGCTTTTCAAAAGCTAACGGCGTATCTAAAGACACCTGCAGAACTAGAAATTCATACCTCAAGGGGCCTTTGCTTGTTGCCATCAGTGTCATGGGAATGGAGAGTGGCGTCAGGACCCCCTTGTGCCCAGAAATTGGGGTTCCCCAGGGGCTCCAAGAGGACAACACAGCTAAGTCACTGGAGCGCTGTCCAGTGCGACACCCACATACCTGTGCTGCCAGTCCAGCCCAGGGCTCGGTACTGCCGCAGCACCCTGCCCACGGCCTTCTGATTCTTAGCCATGGTCACAGCCCTGGACAAGCCGAATCGCTGCCTGTAGTATCGCATCAGCGAGCGGTGACCCACTCTGGCGCCTGCAGTTCAAAAGAACAACATTTAACACCGGGCTGCCCGCCGCCGTCCAGGTGGAGCCCTGAAGGATGCTCTCCGCAGAGATCTCCAGCGCATGTGCCCGAGGAGGCAGTGTCTGTCCATGAGAGATACGTGAAGTGGCTCCTTAAAGACACACACAATAAAACTGAGAGAGCAAGCCAAGCTTAGATTTTTAAAAACAGAGTGGGAGGGGCTGGGGATTTAGCTCAGCTGCGTAAGTGCCTGCCTGGCAAGCGTGAGGTCATGAGTTTGATCCCCAGTATCAAAAATCGGTCAATCAATAAAAAGTGGCAAGTCACTGCTCAATGAAAACTGTATCCTGCGCCTACAAACAAACAATATTTATGTCAATTCCAATAAAAGGGATGAGGAGGTAAGGGATTTTTAGATTTTTTTTTAAGAAGTAAGATGCTTAGCTTTACAAACCTCAGTCAGAGTCAGAAATCAACCCACCCTGGCTTTGCTCAGATTATTGCAGTGACCCTCTAACAGGCGCAGTCTTTAACCCCGGGACATCTGGCACTCACTAGAGGCAGTCTGGGCTGTTACAGCTGCAGTGCTACTGGCATCTAGTGGCGAGAGGCCAGCGACGCTGCCCAACACCTGAAGATGCACAGCCCCAGCCCTGCCAACGAAGTCTTACCGTCTATGTCCACAGTGCTGAGACTGGGACCCTGCCCAGCGCTTCCTAAACAACAGGAATCACCCAGTGACCCAGGATCATAAAAGATAATTAAGCAGAATTCTCTACAGCTTTTGCTGATTCAGAAAAATCAGGTAAACTGCGAAATAACCGTGCTCTCAGCTTTCAGAATGCACTTCCAAGTGTATCTCCCCACATACTCTGATGTACCCCAAGACAGGACTGCATGCGTCAACTCAGAGGCCGTTATCAATTGTAATACAGAGGAAGAAAAGAAAAAGGAGCTCGACATCTCAAATAAGAAAACTACAGGACAAAAGACTGGCCATTGAAAGCTGTAGGACATGTCTATGCCTGGGCTGACAAAACCCAAGGAGCAACAGCTGTTTACTGGAGGAGGGATCAAGGTTTCCCACTAAAGGAGCAGCACAGTGGAGATCAGGTAAAGGGTGTGGCAGGCTAGAGCAGGAGGACACCCCCAGCCACCTGAGTTACCACAACACAGCCTGCTCGGCCCTGCACCCGTGGATGCCTCCCCCTGCTCACGCACAGCAGCCCGGAGCTCAGCAGCTGCTGCAGAGCCAGCAGGTGCACGGTGGTGAACCCACAGCACTGCCTGCAGCAGGCTCCTCCTTACTACCAAAGACTCCATGAGGCTCAGCGTCACCGGCCTCAACCCTTGCCTCTCTGGTCCTTTGCAGGAAAATGCTGACGTGTGCCTGATGCCTGACAAAACCAGAAAGGCTGCAGGCATGACGTACCCCGGGTCCCTTCAGAGCCATGACTCTCGGGCCAGGGAAATCGGTGTCCGCTGGGCTTACTGAGCAGACATGGGGAAGGGAAATCAGCTAGGTAGAGCCCGGGAAGTTTCCAGAAAAGTTTTACGTATCTATCAATCTTTCAGAACTTTTGGGCAAAAGCCCGTGAAAGAGATACTGTCAGGGTTGAGGAAGGCTGTGTTTGCTCTTAGACACAGACCTTTAAACTGAGAAGGAACAACTCTCCAGGTTATTGAAAGTCCCTGTATCTGGAAGACATCTGGAAACAACTGACTTGCCACACCGGTACAGAAAAATAGCCGTGGCAGTGCCGGCTTTGGGATCCCACCGGCAGATGAGAAAAGAAGCTTCTGACGTGGCAGCTGCGTGTTTCCCCGCAACCTGACTCCTCCAGCAGTGTCGGGGTTAAGGAGCCTGGGCCACAAGGGCTAAGTATGCGGGACTGAGGTAGAGTCCAGCCTGGACAGAGGCCCCAGGCAAGGCCAGCATATTCACAAGATTTTCTATTTACATTGCTAGGTAGAAAGCTTCAGGTTTGCAAGGATAATAAGTCCCAAACTAGTGAGTGATGATGCTGGCAGTAACTGCCCAACACATATTTTCTTGAGCAACATTTAGAGACACGTCTCAGTCTCTAACAGCTGGCAGAGAGTAGAAACACAGTGTCTAGGGCTCCTCCCACTGTGTCAGCAACAGGGGCAGCTGACAGCAGCCCCAGGTGGACAGCACTAAGCTTGGCCCAGGGCGGCCTCGGTGAGGAACTTCCTGCGCACACAGCATGCCCGCCTGCCTGCCAGACACAACAGGCTGCACATGTCCCAGTTACGGGGAACTCAAGCACCACCCCCAGCTCTGCCACCTCCCAACTGGCTACCACTTGGTCCGTTCCAGTTTAATGAACAGCCTTGCCAATGGATGCCACCAGATACTGGAAAAGAAGCCGCTGAGAACTGTAATTTCCCCAACATTCACTCTGCAGTTCTCACAGCGCAATGGCAGTTTCAGCTGGCCAATCCGCAGCTAAAGCAATGTGTGGTTCACACATCAGCTTCCTCACTACCAGCTGAAGGCAGGGAACAGAAGGCGAGGAACTGGGCCAGGCTGACCTTCCAAAGACACGCTCACGGCGCCCTCTACCGGGGGCTTCGGTCACTGCTTTGGGGATGGTCTGCTTGCAGGTTTTACTGATATGCAAGCTGAACAGATTTAGGATACTGCAACTGCTGCTTTTGAAATCAGCTTAAGCAAACTCTTAAGCGTAGCTGGTTAAATAGCAATACTCTCTATACATTACAGTCCTTATCCAGCTGGCTTCGGTACAAAATCTGCACTATACCTCAGTTACAGGAAACCGCATCCTGAAGAGGCTTCTGAGCAGTACAGTGTGCAGAGGCAGACAGGCGAGTGGGTGCTGCTGCCTATTCCTCAGCGGCATTAGATGGGCATCTTCTTGGTTCATCACAAACCCCCAATCAAGTACTGAGGTGCAGCACCAGACCGCAGACTGTTGGGTGTCACAGCACATCCACAGACTAAAGCATGATTGATTTTTAAAATCTGGGAGGGTGATGCAGGTGACATTGAAAGCACTGTCAGACTAGATGGTCTGAAGGTCGGTGGATTCAGATTTACCCAGAAATCCGTACCTGCTGCCATTTAAACAAAGTCCTTCCTAGGGTCCCGGTCATCTTGGTGACTGTGATCTGATCTGGATGTTTTCATCTGTGGATCTCAATCTCTAAGTCACAGAAGCTTTCGATAAGCCACAGCCTCTTCCTCCCAAACATACGTGCCCACAAACAAAAGTAACTGCACAGAGCTTCATTAAGAGAGTTTGGGGTGTGAGCACAGCTTCTGGCTATTGGTTACATCTGTCCTGAGTCCGTCTGTCTAAAGTACAACACTCTGTACTTCTGCTACTATACCAGTTACCTCACCGCTGCCAAGTCCACGTCACCCTAAGGTTATTCTCTAGCCTTTAAATGTCAAGATTAGAAACCAGACCCACAGCAGTTAACAAAGAGGCCAGCTCATCTCAAGACACTCTCTTCTTTGATCATGTGACACAGGGGCAGGCAGGTGAGCTCGAGGGACGCAGACACCTGGCTGCTCAGCTCTCCAGCCCCCAGCCCTCACAGGTCCCGGGGAGTCGACCCCCGCTTCTATTAAATGTGGCCTCTACCTCTCTGCCAGTGGACTTCTGCCTGGCTCTAGGACACCGAGACCACATGCTGACAGGAAAAGATGAAGAAGCGGTCCTTGTCTCAGAAGCAACAGGAAGCTGGACCGAAGGACTAACTTCCAGCCTCCACAGCACGGGGGGTGCTGGTTATGCTGATTATCCCAAAACAGCTACCAGAAGCTTCCAATGTTCTCAACACACACACACACACACACACACACACACCTCGATCTATGTCTGAGCTGACAGAGATGCTGTTATTCTGACTGGATCATAGAACACTATACGCCTCTCTGAGATGGCACACCACATACCAACATGTACAATTAATTACCCAGTGTCCATTTATATATATGTTAATTTTTTAAGGTAATGGGGAAACACAAGCAAGCAAGCTAACTATCACACAGGAATGAGGTGAAAATTTTGGACAGGCAAGTGTCCAAGGAGCAGACACTATTTGCCACCCTGCAGAACAGACAGCAGAGGTCCAAGAGGGCTTCCCGGAGGACCTGCAGACCCTTGCAGGGGCAGAGGGCTAAGCAGCCACTGCACATGCCGAGACCCAGTGAGGGCTCTACAATCGGTCAGTAAAGGAGCAGAGAGACTCCCCAGGAGCAGGGCCTCAGAGGCTCAGGTACCCAGCACCTGAGGGCTCCCACTGCAGGAAGCTCGGGGGTGAAGGAAACCTGCGGGGTCTACAGAGAACGCTCTGGGGCTTGTGAGGAACCAGGCCAGGCAGGGAGCTGGAATGGTGACACGGACAAAAGGATGAAGAGAAAACATGGACAGACAAATTCAACAGATATCTGGGCGGTGCCACGCCATGCAGATGTGGGGAAGAGTAACCTAAAAGCACACCCGCTTTTGGCTTTGGTTCACCCTGGAGATGCAGTCACCCTAGGAAAATATGCTTTCCATATCGCTGAGGAGTCCTTGTTTTTTAATTTTCAAAAACATAAAATCCAGATGAAAACTGCTCTCAAATATAATATTCAAACACAATGTTCCTATTATTATAAACATTTTACAGTATGTGCTAGAGTAAATACAAACTGAAGCAAACACATGGTGACTCTAGCACCCGCCGGACAGTTTCATGAGGACTTAGCTTATGCAGCTTACTTGAGGTCTGCCAACACCTCAATCGATAGTTAAAAAGTCAATGCTAGGAGACAAGGGGCCAGCCAGTCTCGAAAAGTAAGCCAGCAAGTGTAACACCATCCCTCTGTGTCTGTCGGGAGCTGGTCTCAGACACCAAAATCCAAAGATGCTCCATGGTATAGAACAGGTGTAGGGGCACATGCCTGTAATCCAGCTACTTAGGAGGCTGAGGCAGGAAGACCTCAAGTTCAAGGTCAGCCTGGGCAACTAACTTAGCAAGACCCTGCCTTGAAATTTAAAAATAATAATAAACTAAAAATAAATGTTAATGGGCTAGAGATGCCTGAGGCCCTGGGTTCAATTCTGGACACTCACACACTATCACGCTTGTATAGAAATTACACTCCTCCTTCTGTATATTTTACATCATCTTTAGATTACTTTGAATATCCAACGTGATGTAAATGCTATGAGAATAGTTGTCACACTGTATTATTTCAGGAATGACAAAGAAAAATTTCTGCCCGTTTCTGATACAAATGCGCTCTCTCCTAAGTGTTTCTACTTCCTGATGAGCATGCCTGTGTGGAGACCACAGATGGCTTCTCACGTCCACACTGTAATGTCACCAAAGGGAGCCAAGGACAGACGGGGCTGCTGGGTACCTGGATGTGCGAGCTGAAGAAAGCAATGACGCGAGACAGCAAGTGCCAGGCGTTCAGAGGGTGACAGGACCTTACAGGGAGGCGAGTGTGCTCAGTGCTCAGCAGGCACACACCTGGGCCCTTCAGCTCCTGTCACCAGCCTGCCCCCCCCCCAGCCCTTTCATGTGTCACTGTGCCCCTGCTGCACCCCCTGTTCTTACCAGCTAACTGTGAACTTTATTCAGAGTTAGTCCCCACCTCCTCAGACAGGGATCAATTCCCTCTGTGAGCCCTGCTCCCCAAGACCAGCAAGAGCCAGCTCCAAGCCTCCACCACCACCAGAGAAAGACAGCATCCCAGATGCCAGATGTCCAGTCCGTGCGTTCCAGACCAGCTGGGCCTTGGGAGTCTGAGAGACGCAGGGCACAGGAAGCTGTCCAGAGGGAAGGGGGAAGGCCTAGAAATACCCGGAGAAATACCCCAGAAGAAATGTCCTCCCCACTGAAAGGATAAAGACTGAATGGAAAAAAGGTCTACACATTAAAAAAAAAAAACTAATCAAACATGCTGAATCCAAACAACAAACACCAAAACCAAAACATGCTGAATCATGCCAAAAAGGAGCAAAAAGTACTGATCTGATTTAAATGAAACAACAAATTTAGACTAAGCAGCCACCTTCAGAGTTTGCAAGCCACAAGCATACCCACTTGGGCTTCAAGCTCCCACGGGACAGCAGGAACCTGAGGGAGCCCCGCCCCCTGCACCGGGTCCACGGGCACTAAGCGCCGTGGGTCTCACAGATGTACCCACCCGAGGGCAGAATCAGCTCCATGGTCTCGTCATCGTACTCCAAGTTCTTTTCTGAGGGCAACTCCTCAGTCTCATCAGCGCCCTCCCCTTCCTTGTGATCTGGGTAGCTACTCCTGTAACAGAGAAATGGTGTTAGTAAGTAGACAAACTCATATTTAACTAAAAAACATGAATTGCATTTGCCAATGTGGCGAACCCACTAGCTACTTTAAAAAGGCAGAGACTGCCAGCTGAATGATGTTGGAGGCAAAGACCTGTTTGCATTTATGTGTAGTAGAAGTGAGCAAATGTATTAGTTACTTTTCTCTTGTTGCTGAGACAAACTACCTGATGTTCAAAATGAAGAAAGGAAAGGTTCATCTAGCTCACAGTTTGTGGAGATTTGAGTCTATTATCTGCTGGGCCCAAGACAGGATTATGGCAGAGGGCAACAGCTCATGGCAGCGGAAGTCAGCAAAAGCAGCAAGAACAAAGGGAGGACCATGCACAGACTCGTACTGTCCCTTACAGGGTTTGTGGACTACCCACCCCAGGGTGGGTGGGGCACTCACACCAATAACCCAGCACTGGGCCATGAATCAAACACCAACTCTAGAACCCCACCTCCGAAAAGCACCTCCATGACTGCATGAGGCTTTGGGGGATCCAGACATGAACCGTAACAGCAAATGACCTATAAAAGACTTTGTCCTATTTGCTTCTCCCTAGATTATCAAACGCAGAGAAAAAGTACTGGATAGGATGGACATGTTTCACCAGTCAAACTAACCATTAGACAAACACGTTCTAAGACAGTAACACCCAACAGAATACTGTGACGACAGATGTATCGTGTGTCTGTGTGCCCTACATAACAGCTCTAGACACATTGGCTGCAAAACACTCAGCTCTAGCATGCAGGTAATATAATATAAAGAACTGAATGTTTTACACTCATCTTTTATTCATTTAAACAGCCACAGAGGTATATCTAGTAATTGTTGCATTGGACATGAAATTCTAGAAGAATCTGTTCCCAGAAATGTTCACAAATTCCTATTTACTCACACACGGAGAACATTGGACAAATACATAGAAGGCTGTCTAACACAGGAAAAATGTGCAGAAGACTGGATTAGATACCTCATAAAAAGATCTCCAAATGGCCAATTAATACACAAAAGACTCTCAATATGAGACATGCAAATTAAAACCAGTCTACTCCCACCAAAGCAGCTAAAATGAAAAACTCTCCCTCAAAGTGAGAGTCTAAGAACCACTTTGGAGAACGATTTGACAGCATCGTCTAACACTGAACATATGCACACCCTTCGGCCCAACTCCTAAAAACATACCACACAGATATCGTGCGCAGATTTGCCAGGCTCCAGAGTGAGGGGGCAGCATCACTTGTGACAGCCCCAAATCACACCAAGAGCACGTCAGGTACCGCGCACCACTCAACACAGTCCTGCCCACAGTGAAAAGGAATGAACCAAGGCTGCACAAACGGCACAGGGAGCTCCACAAAGGTCAGATGGACCAGCAGGCCAGACTGAAAAAGGGCAGTTTCTTCGCAATCCTGTCTAGAGGAGATGCAAAAAGAGGCCGAGCCTATCTGTGTATTTATTGACAAGTCAGAACAGTGGTAAGTCTAGGAGGCTGGAGGATAATTCCTAGAAGAACACACAAGGGAAATGTAAGGTAATTATTAGTATTCTGGCTCAGTGTGGATGCTTGTTATATTTAAAATTTCATGGGGCTGAATTAGGTATCATATGTGTATGTTAATGTATTTTTCTACAAGTTCATTCTTCAATATAAAATTTCAAGTCAAGCACCAGCTGACCTTAGTTGGAAGCAAGGGTGGAACTGCAGAAAATCTGTTCATTTTCTGATGAGGTGAACCCACATAATGCACTAATGTGCCCAGAAGGTAATAAGCACCCAATAAATGTTGGCATTGTGCATGAAGTTGTTCCATTTTCCTAGTTTTCTTTTTTGAGTATTTTCAAGTTTTTTAAGGTAAACAAATCACTTAATATTCATTTTTATAAAGGCTTATACCATCACTCATTTCTATGAACAAGCAGAATAAGCTCTGTAAATGAAGTCCAAAAAAGCCAATATCTGGACTCAGAAATTTGCTTCTTGCACCATTAATGGCAATTATAAATTTTAACTCAAACTGACGGTCTGGGCAACAGTCAGCAGACAACAACAGGTCCAACTCCACGAACTTAGGAGAAAATGAAAGGTATGAAAGGGCAGTGAAGCTGTGGGGAAAGACAGGAGACTGCCCCTGTTCAGGCAGGCATTTCTATTCCATGAAGGGCAGTCAGGAAAGCCACACTGGAAAAGAAAAACTATGCCACGTCCAGCAGGAAGTGGGAGGACAAGTCAGATGACTATCTGAGCAAAGGTCACAGGCAAAGGCAGAAGTGCAAAGGTCCCAAGAAGCACAACATGGATGAGAAGGCAAGCTAGAAATCCAAAGAGCAAGAGTCATAAAACGTGAGAACCATAGTGACCATAGTGACCAGTACACACGGGACTCTGTGGGCTATTAAACTTTGGCTTTTCCTTTAGGTAAGATGACAAGCCCTTGAAGAGTGTAAGCAGAGTCTGATCTGACTGAAAGCTCTAAAGAATCACACCATGGCTACCTGTGAGGACAGAATGTAAGTGAGTGAAGCTGGAAGACAGGTAGGAGGCACTGCACAAATCCCAGGAAAAATAGCCGGAGTAGCAGCAGGACTGGAAATAGTCACATCCGGAAGACAACCCTAAGGTAGACAGCGCAGGATCTGGTGACAGCTTCATGTGACGGTGAAATAACAAAGATGACTGCAAGGCTCTCAGCTTTAGTAGCTGGAAGAGGAGAATTAGTACCTGCTTAGGAGGGAGCAGGTTACACTGCATAAAAAAGCTCCATTTGGATAAAGTGAAACTGCCGGGACAGTGGGATATGTGAAGTCTTGGGAGCTGGGGAAAGTTGCACAAAAGGTACAAATTTGGGAGTCATAAACCTACAAGGAGGTACTGAAATCTCTGAGATCTGCTCTGACCGCTCTCACTAGAACGTGGGACAAATGGTCGGAAACACCGCTGTCTGACAGGACATTTGGGAGGGGAAGTAGTGGCTATCACCTGGACAATGCCTCACGCTTAGCAGACCATTTTCTTCACCACCACCACCCACCTCTAACCCCCTATGCCCACCAACTGTTAAGCCTTCAAAATGAGAAATCAGGGAGAAGTTGCCAAAAGAAGTTTTATAAAACTAAGCCTCCCGAGCACCAGTGTCACTTGGGCTGCGCTGCATCACAGGGCTTCCGGCAAGAACTAGCTGTTCATGAACACCTAACACTGACCTGCTGCACGAGGGGCGAACTGCTCAAGATTCCAGTTAGGGCTGGACCACTTACGGGGTAATGTCACCACCGATGCCGGGGTCTGGCCTACATCAGCCATCATCTCGACTATCTCAGGAAACAGCTTGTGACTCCAGGTCTCTTGGGGAACTCAAAACATATAAACTGGATTTCTATGCCCCTGTTTACGGGTAACCAGCAAAACCGAACTCCTGACCATTAAAATCCAAAAACATGTCAGGCAAACTATAGGTTAGCCCTGGGATCTTCTCTTTCCTAGATGTATTAAACTCAAACAGATTTTCTTAATCCAGATAATTAATATAGTATACAACATGACGACCACAGTCCAGTTCCTAGACGTACCGAAAATCATAGAAGTCTGCAAATTCCAAAGCAGCGTCGCCATCTGTGAAGAGCTTGCAGTGGCTTTTGTCATTCATGTGGGCCTGTACAGCCTCCGTGGAGTAGAAAGATTTCCCTTTCTCATTGCACCACAAGCAAATCTTCCCAACACCAACTTTTTCTCCTGGTCAAATAATTTGAGGGAAAAATATGAACAAAAGCTTTCATTCATCTCTGCAATTCAAAAACCATTCACTAAGCTTTTAATTTTCACAATGTTAGCAAGTAAAGGACCGGGAATTTAGCTCAGTGGAGTAAGCGCCTGCCCAGCCAGTACACGGTCTTGAGTTCATTCCCCAGTACCAAAAAAAAAAAACTTAGCAAGTAGTAACTAAGCCAGAGTTTGATGACAAATACAATGACTAATTGTATGACTAATACTGTTCCCTTAAGGCCTGCTTCTCTGCTCATTAGGAAAGCTACCATACCTACCCAAATATTTAATCAGTCCCTTAAGGTCAGAAAGATATTCTATGTCGGGAATAAAGAAGCTGTGGACTTTAGTCATGTGAGCCACGTTCTTCACAAGGGAGCTCGAATGATGGGAACAGAACAAGCAGTCCGTGACAGGGATGGCTCCCAGGGGTGGGCTTTTGCTGGCTTCTTCCTCCTTGGCATCGGGCCCATCTGAGTGGTCCACAACCTCAGTATCTTCCATCTCCATCTCTTCCTCAGAATCAATATCTTCCCAATCTTCACGCCGGAGTTTTGAAAAAGAAAGTTAATTTCAGAGAAATGGTGACTGCAATCAAAGATATCACAATGGTGCATACAAAGGGCTACATCTGGGGAGATGCCAGGTTCCAATCCCATCCTCCTACACATTCTTCCTTCGAGGTCTGTTTTTGACACTCCTTGACCCCAGACAAGTCTGCATGCCTATCAACCTCTTAACCTTTCTCCTCCAGGGCACAAGTAACCTCTGGGCTTCTTTTGCATGCTTCACAGCATCTAGCCTGGAGCAGGGGTCACATCTGGCTGCAGAGCTCTACAAACTGCCCTTAACAGTATCTACCACTTCCCCATGCGAGGTGGTAGAGGGATACGGCATACGACATAGACTCCCAAAGTTGGACTGTGTGTGCCCTTGCCGGGTGAAACCTAAGTGTCAATGTGATGGTGTCAAGGGGTGGGATCTTCAAGGAAGGGATCAGCGCTCTGCCCTCCTGAATGAACTAGAGTTCTAGGGTCTGAAGGAACTTGCTAGTTCCTTCTGTCATTCCCATCAAGTGAGGAAACTCGCCCACGTCACCCCCATGGAACAGGCCTCAACTGACAACCAACCTGCTAGCACCTGGATGTTGGCCTCCAAACCTGGGAAAATAAACTTATGCTGCTAAGAAGCTATCCAGCCTCTGGTATCTTGTTGCAGAGGCACAGATGGTCTAAGACGTGAATTTACATTATCAGTGTTAATAGGATAAAGAATGAGAAGAAATCAATAGCTCATAAAATCAAAGGGGCTAGGTTGGTGACTCAAGCTCCACCTTTCAGATTTGCTGTCTGATTTGGGGCCCTCATTCAGTTTTAATCAACTAAAAAACTAAGCACCAACCCATTATAACAGGAAACTCTTAGACTCACACATTCAGCAAGCCGGGTGCCAACAGCATGTGCCCCTAGGTAGATGTCAGCAAGTTCCTCGTCCAAAATGGACGGGATGTCATAAATGATGCACCTATTTTTCCCAGGTATTGTTTCATAACAATGAGCCCTGAATGCGCAATAGAAAAACTTAACAGACAAAACTCCCTGCTAGGATGCAAGCCAGAGAAGGCACTGCATAAAACAATGAAACCGCTTCACTAATCATGTACACTCACTCACACACACACACACACACACACTCACTCACTACTCAGGTTTAAATTGGCAAACTCAAGGGGCACCAATTGCCACCTCAAACCCGGCCCTTACCTTCTTCATCCAGGTCCTCCTCCTCCTCTTCCTCCTCGCTTTCCTCCCCCTGCTGCTTGGCCAACTTCTTGGCCTGCTGTTCAAACCACTGCAGCCGGGGCGGTTTTTCTGCGTGGTCTCGGTCGTGTGCTCCACGGCCACCGGAGGCCATGGCCCTGCTGGACTCTTCTGCGGGGACCGAGGAGGGCGCCTTCTTGGGGGACATGGACGGCTGGGCCTTGATGGCCTGCTGGATGGCCGCGTTCATGGCATCCTTATTCACACTGTCCACGCCCAGTCCTTTCTCCAAGTTCTTCTCGTTCATCATCTCCACTTTCCGATTCACCGCCTGCACGGCCTTCTTCTCCAGCTCCACGTGCCGCCGGGACTTGAGGTGGTTCTCATAGGCGTTGAAAGAGGCGAACTTCTTGCTGCAGACGGTGCAGTAGGTGGCCGTGCCCTTGCTCTCCTCCTCGGCCACGGCCCGCTGCGCGCGCACTCGCTCCTGAAAGCCTTCGGCTGTGACCGGGGCCATGCCGGCCACCTTGCGCCTCAGGTTGTAGCGGTGCCAGTCCGTCTTGTAGTGGGCCCGCTGCATCTCCGCGTCGCGGAACGCCACCCGGCAGGTGATGCAGGTGTACGTCGCCATCGCTAGGCAAGAAGTCAGAGGCGACAGAGCCAAGAATCTAGAGATCGACGTGCTGACCCTTAACTCGTCTCACTAGACACACAGCCACGAAGCGTCAGTCTTCCAGATTTCTACCGCAGGAACTTCCGACACGCACCGGAAATAGTGACAACTGGACGGGAAGTCCCGCCTCTCACCTATGATCACGCCCCGGAAATCGAAGGACCCAATGGCTGATGAGATTTGCTCCGCCCAGTCCACCCGGAGTGGTCGTGAATGGGACTGGGCCACGCCCTCCCGGTGCCAGGCCCGGGTTCGCGGTAGTGCCGAGAGGTGTGACGTGGTTGAGGGGACAGCAGTGATAGGAGAAGGGGAGAGGGCGCCCAGCCTGGCCCACGCCCTGGGAGGCCCCGAGGGCGCGGCCGGGATTCCCCGCAGGTCTCGCGGGGCTCCCTGGAAGCCGTGGGTCGGAGCCGGTACCGCCCCGCCAGCCTGAATCACCGGGAATCTGACCTCAGGGCCGGAGTCTGGGCCTTCCTGGGACCGCCCTTTGGGCGACGCTCTAAAAATGCAGTTTGCCTGCCAGGGCCCTACCTGTAGCGCAGCTGACCACACGTGTAGGGTTGCACTGAGCAGCAGCCGCGTCATTTTTGTTCTTGTTTTTAAGTAAAAACAGGTAAAAATCGCTTTTAGTAATATCTTATTTAACCCAGTCAACCCAAAATATCATTACAGCGTGTAATCAGCCCAAAGGAATTAATGAGATACTTTACATTCTTCTGTTGGCATTAATAAATCTTGAAAATCCAGGGTGTGTTTTACAAGTAACTGCTCATCTTGATTCAGACGGACCCGGCAGGTTGCCCAATAACCCAAAATCGGACAGCACAGTTTTCTAGAAATACGCGCTTCAAAGGCATGGGGAATTCATAGATGCATCCCCACGGCCTAATAGGAATAGAACCAGCTTTGTCACAGAACTGAACGGTGCCTGAAGATCCAAGCTGCCAATAGCTCCAGAAGAGAGAGATTTAAAAAAAAAAAAACAAACAAACTATATGTGTCAGGTGACACTGCTTTTTTTCCTGGAAGCCCTCCAGTGACTTCCTTGACGAGGTAAAATTCAAACACCTTCCTTTGTGTTTTAGAGGCCCTTGATACCTGTTACTCTTCAACCCTACTTCTGATTTTCTACCACACCAGGTTCTCCACCTGGCTCTCCCTGGTTATCACAGTGATATTTTTTGTCCTACCAAGGTACAAACTTTGTTGGTGTTCTTATATATAAATCCTTCTCTGAAGGTCTTTCTGCTGCTTTGCTCTCTTTTTACAGTTGTTCCCAGCCACCTTTGTAAGAGTAAAAAGATAATTCTAACCCAAATTCTTAAAGTCCTTAGGAGGCATAACTTTCCTTCATAAACCCTATCAGTTAATGTGTTTGTCTGCATCAAATTACAACTAAAATTTGGCATCAAACTTTCTCTCACATCCCACAGGTCAGGCATTTGGGTGCCTTTGCTGAGTGAACACACAGCCAGGGCAAGAGGACTATCTCATCTGAGTGGGATCAGGACTCTTCACAGCTGATAGCAGGATTTGGTTCTTGGTCAAGCAGACCTCTTCCTAGGAGGAAGAGGACCTCTTTCTTACAGTCAAGCAGTAAGATGGCCTAAGATGCAACTGGTTTTCCCCATGAGCAGAGCCACCTTATCTCTTATGATTAGTGTGTTCTAATGTAGGTCAGCCCTGCTTAACAGGAAAGGGATTACAAAAAGACATAAAAATACTAGAAGGTGGAGTGAGTCAGTCTTTAGGGATCACTTTGAGAGACTGGCTACCACTACTATTTGTTGTTTATCCCTGATTTCCCAGTCAGGACCGGGAGCCCTGCACTGGAAGGAACTTTCAATCTTGGGTCTGCATCTAGAGTGTAAATTCCACGAGGGCAGGTGCTCTTCCCCCTGTATTCCACAATGCAAGAACAGTGCTGGCACACACAGCATTCATTTTTGCTAAAAGAATAATTGTGCAGTGCACAAATCCAGTGGTGGGTTTTATTTCAGAAAACTTGGCTTAGATTGTCAAAACCTTTTGCAGTAGCTGGGCTCTCCAGACACTCACTCTTAAAAATGGGACAAGCATTGGTCTTCAACTGGAATAAGAAAAGCAACACATTTGTCAAGCTTCCCTACAAAGTAAATCAGAACGGGCAGCTAAAAAAAGTAAAGAACTGGTTTTGCTTTTCCTCGTGCTTTATCATTTCTGTGTGATTGTTCCAGCACCAGTTCTTCAGGCAATGCTTTCCTCCCTGCCTCCTCCACTTTGTTTTCATGATCCCCCCGGGAATTTCAGTATTTTGAACGTTCTGTTTTTCAAGGCCCCATTGTTGTCTCCGTTGTATTATTTTTCCAATTAACTGGAAAGAGAATAGGCTTTGGGACCAGGCTTGTTTTAACCCCTCACTAGCTATGTGATCTTAATTTACTGTTTTTCACCACAGTGCTCTTAATTCCACTGACTAGAGATGGAGCCGGGACCTTGGCCCCCAATGTTTAAGGGATAATTAGGCAGGGAAAGGTTGTACCCTCATGAATGGAATGAATTATCTCTGAAGAGACAGGATCAGTTTTCTCACGAATGGATTAGGGCTCTCAAGAGTAAATTAGATCTTTAGGGACTGGATTAGTTAACATAATGATTTGTTTACAAGCTGTTGCCCCTCCCCACATTGTGACCCCTCTTCCACGCACACCCACTTTCACATCCACCTTCCCTCCATGCAGGGAGCAGAATATGGGCCTCATCACAAGCCATGGCAGACGTTTTATCATTTTTTGTATGCCCTGTTGCTGGAGTTCCAGAACTGGGAGTTAAATAAATGTTTTTGATTTATAAATTGCCTCGTCTCAGGGGTTCTGCTATAGCAACAGAATGGATTAAGATGCTACTTAATTGTAGAGTCATGAGGATAAACAGGATCCTAGTAACTTGAGATTCTTCTATGTCTTAATCCAAGGATTAGCGTATTTTTCCTGTTAAGGGCCAGGAATACGAGGTTGCAGGCCTACTGCCTCTATTCCAACTATTCAGCACTGATATAAAAGTGATCACAGATTACACATAAATGAATGAATATGGCTGTGTTCTAAGTAAACGAAGAATTCTGAAATTTTATTTTCCTCCCTGGTTATTTGGGGAGGTGGGATACTGGGGATCAAACTAACAACCTCGTGCTTGCAAGACCAGGACTTATGCCACTGAGCTAAATCCCCAGCCCTTGAAATTTTATTTTCATATCAATTGCATGTCACAAAATAATCTCCAGGGTTTTTCCATCAACTATTTAAGAATGTGAAAATCATTCTTAGCTTGTATCCCATATAGAAATAGACTAGAGTTGGGCCATCATTTGCCTAACTCAGCTTCAAGATATTTCATTTTTGCAACAAACTACAAGGTCAGCACTATTTACCTTTGTCTTTTAAATGAAAGAAACAGATACAAAGATAGTAGCTGACCTTCCTGGAGCCCAGGGTCAGTAAGTTTCAGCATTATTAAACATGACTAGTCCAGAAGCTTACACAGGGTCCAGAGCCAATTTAAGTCACAGACATTTTTTCTATATCTTCCACCTGTTTATTCCACAGACTCTGCCTTTCAAGGCCAATATAGTACTGCACCAGTAAGAGAACTTTATAGCATTTTCTTGTAAGCAGGTACTTGTTGGTTGCCTTTAATATTTAAAATAATAGCTTAGTTGGAAGGCAGGAAAAAACAGTGCATTGTTTTATGTAACCTTTTTACCCCAGAAATTGCTTTAGATACTTTCTCTCATTCATTCTCAAAGCACCCCTGTGTGAGGGTATGAATTAAACTCCTTATTTCACACTTAGGGAAACCTGCCATGGCTGTCACATGACTCTAACTTAGGTCTTAAGGTCATGACATCATCACCATCACCAGAACCGTATTTCCACATTTCTTGCTATCAATGCTGCAATGGAAATAGAACAATAATACATAAAAATCAGTTGAGGTATTCTAAGGGCAATTTCTACAAACTGTTACCACAATAATCTTGTCTTACAAATAACATCAATGGAGCGGTGTAAAAAAATGCACTAAGGAATAAATAAATAAGGAATAAACAGAAAATGAAAACACTATCATTTATTCTTAAAGAAATGTGGATCTCTTTCTGGCTAACATCAGTTTTAGCCTATCATTTGCCATGTTTTAAAAGACAGCTGCATACCTTAAAAAAGAACGAAGTGCCTACCTATATTGAGGATGTTTGCCAATTGTAAAAACCTCATGCAAGTTTCTGTTATAATATTCCACTAAGTGACTTGTAATATTCTACCATGTTTTTTAAAATCATTTTTGAAGACCTTTAAGTGACAGTATTCAAACTGGACGACCTTCCAACGTGAACTTCAACTTCTTTAGCACTACTTTACTGTTTCAGAGAAAAATACATGACTGTGTGTATCGCATGGACTGTTTTCAGGAAGTAAATAAACTGTGATCCTCATCTTCGGGAGTGCATTCCACTTCAATCTCACAAGGCCATTCTTTATCGCTGTTTTAGATATTTGAACACTGCTATTGATTTAATTTCTCGTGGTAAAGGTCCCCTATCATCCTGGATTGATCATAGGGTTTATTTGGTACTATATCAACACAGAAACAATGCCCTCACAAACACACACACACACACACACACACACACGATCTTCAACTCCCCCACATTCATCTGAATTAAAATTTTTAAGAAAACTACCATTATACTTTGAATTTGTAATCACAGATTCTTGTAGAAGTAACACCAAATGTGTACTTGTAATGCTGTCCTCCACAAACAGCTGGTACATGTCACCAGCTTTCTACCCTACCAACCTTCCACCCCAAGCCCATCTTAATTTGTAGCTTATAACAATTTATTGTAGATTTATTGTTCATACAAATACACATTATCAGCCCTTGAATTTATCTTTTGTAAACTTGTCTAGGAACATATAACATATTCTTTGATTATTTAAAGTTTTACTGCCTTCTCAATAAAGAAATTAAAATGATGTTTCAACTTTTTGACTGCATGACCAAGGATATTTTTTAAATGAAAAAACATACGTTTAAAGAAAAAAAGAATCCTCGTAATGACTATTTTATTAATATGTGATTGTATTTCCCCCCTCATGTTCAGAAACTCTTATTGAAAAGAATTCAGATATACCCTTCCAAAACCACAGTTTGGAGATTTTCTAACACAGATTTATGTTTATACCAAAATGGGCAAGATAATGAAGGCACGGGCTCCCTTAATATCAATAAACATCAAACAAGGTCACGAGGCACGAACGACACAGAAGTGGAGTCAGTCACAAGAAGGAAGTGTTGAAAGTCTTTAGTAACTTTCTTCCCTTTAACATTTGGCAAATTCAGTCTAGATCATTTAAAACCTCAGAAAGAAAAAATAAATAAGAGACGCTTCATTACAACATTAGTTACCATAGGTATTCTTCAGAAACGTAAGAAAGGGGCTGAAGGGAAAGGAGGGGAACACAGATTTCCTATATTCCTAGATTATCCTTCCTTTCTGAGGGTCCAGATGTCTGTGCATCTGCAGAAATGCCAGCTATACCTGAAGGTTTAAGAAATATTTTACAGTTGCTGACATGGTCCCTCAATACTACTAAAAGTTTATATCATAAAAGCAAGACTATCTCAGTTTCCGCTTTTTAGTCCTTTGTTAAAAACTGTAAGCCAAATTTGATTATTAAAAGACGATCTAAAAAAGTTTAAGGCAAAGGAAAGAAAATATATTCCAGCTTCCCATAAGAAACAGATTACATATTCAGACTTCAATTCCAAATAAATATTTTAAAGCCAGCTATCTTTCCTATCTATACAGGCTAAGAAAATGAGTTATCATTTCTTTATTGAGATGATGACATCATTCATAAAACATCGGTAACTAGTTTCACAATTTTAGGCGATATTTTCTATGACACAATATGAAACACGAACATGTAACTTTAGGTGTAAGTAAGCACAATAGATCTGCACTCGCGTCCCCATTACAGGCACAAAAACAAACAACGAACCAGCCGAATCTCTGGGTAATCATAACCTCCATCCATGTGATATGTTAACTACTTGCCTTCTCTGGGTTAGGACCACCTGACACAAGACTAGAGGAGGCAGAAAGTACACAACTTTCCAAGTATGTGTACATCTACAACTGCCTCAAGAATATGGAAATGTCCTAGCCTACCTGTAGCTCTTAAGTTTTAAAATTTTTCCTAGCAAATTAATTTTGATCATATTTTCCCAAGTCCTTCAATTAAAGATATTTTGATAACTTCTGTCTTTTTACATCTAAATTTATGAGTCTTAAAAAAATTATTTCCAAGTATTAGGAACAAGGGAGCTGATAGAGCATGTAAGCACAATTAACTGTTAATATTTTCAGTGAGTTATAATAAACTTTTGCATGCTTGAAAATTAATTATAATACTTGTAGAAGGATCTTAATAATTTGGTGTTTGGGGTTTTTTTTTCATTTTTGCTTCAAAAACAACTCCTATTTCTGACAATATGGTATATATGTATATGAAGTTCATTTCCATGCTTATTACATAAAAATAACTATCAGAAATATCAAACTATCAGTGTCAGCTGATGTATGTCCAATGAATTCACCGCAGAAGGGAAAATAAAACAAAGAAAATCTAAAATAATCATTAAAGCTTACAGTTCAAATTTTTCCCACTTTTTTTTTTTGTCTTTTTTTAAATTTTTGCTCGGTTGAAACTTTTTGGTGGTTTGTCTGTGCTCTGCTGCAAATCCATTCCCTGCTCAGTGGCCGCCAAGGAGGTTGGAAAGGAAGCCGGATGACTTCTTGCTTTGTGGTGCTTCCGCCTCCTGGTCTTGTGTAAGTCCCAACTCACTCTCAATCTGATCCAGCTCTGACTGGTCAAGCAGTTCAAAGTCGTCCCCTTCTTCAGTGTCTGTGTCCTCCCCTGGGCTGGGTGGGGCCGGAGCCAGGGCTTGCTGAGCCCCTTCTAGCTGGTCTTTGATGGCGGCCGTCACTGCAGCTGTGATGACCTCCCCAGCCAGGCTGCTCATCAAGTGAAGGGCTTGGTCACTGTTCAGAGGCAGAGTGAGCCCAGCTGCTGACGGCCTCTCTCTGCTCGGTATGTGGCCACTGTCCGACAGATCCTTTTTCCTCTTGAGCTCAGTGGGCAATCCAAGGCTTAATTCCTCTTCATCATTTGTTCCTGTACCATTTTCTACAGATGGAAAATCGGAGAGATCTCGAGAGAAAACTTCCTCACTGGGCCGGTCAAGATCTGTGAAAACATTAACACAAGTTCATCCTTAAGCATCCCCAACAAACTTGACTCTATTTCAAATCTGCCTTTGATCTGATCCTTCCAAGGAACCCTGGCATTCAGCTGAGCGATGGTGAATCATTTTAGACATGTACTGGACCTCTCCCCAGTCTGTGACACCGGCTCCCCACAAACACAAAGACCATGTGTCCCCTACATCTTTAGCTTTCCTCTGAAGCACAAACTGTATGCATGACTTAAAAACTCAACCTTCTCTAACGTGATCTTGAGGTTTTAACAAAGTTTAGGGATTTATCAGGAAAATCTCTTCCTGTAACATGGGAATCATCTTAAGGCAATGGGAATATGTCTGGTTATGAAATTTAAAAAAACTTCACTCGCAGGCATTTGTGGATCGTGGCTCATCCAGCAGTACACAGTTTACCCCGCCTCAGCGTTTCCATCCATGGAGATCTAGCAGAGTATTTGTAACCTATGTTTGTTTAAAGCCATCAAAAGAAGCTACTGGCCTTTGTATTCCTGTTCAGTCTAAGAGCTCACGGGAACATTTAGCTGTCTACAAATAGCACTGAAACCGAGCATGCCAAAATTCAGGGCATCGGAATGCAGAATCAGGCTGGGAGGCAGGCTGATTTTTATAGAACATCGTTTAGTACAACAGTTAACTCTTTGCAATGGTGATTTGAAAGTTTCAGCTCTAGTAAAGAAAGCCTTACATACAGGTTCCCTTTCATCTAAGATGGGATGCATAAGAACTATTTGTTGGTTTAGCATTTAGAATGTGAGTTCAGGTGGGGACATTGAAAGTCGACCGAGCAGGAATGAACTTCAGAGCTACTCGTTCACTGGCATGCAGGGAACGGGGAGGCCCCTGTAACGGTGTCACCTGTCCAAGGCCACACAGTTAGCTAGTGGTGAGACAAGGCTACACACTACTTGGGTCTCCAAACCCATCCTCTTTCAAACACTGTACAGCCTCCATCCTCCTTCCTTGTAGGAAGTCAGTAGAAAACATTCTCTTCCTTAGTAACCTCCTAGGTTCACTATACGGCTGGGACTATCCAAAATTATCCAGGAGGACCAGCAAAAGGTAAGTCAGTACACAAGCCTTGTCTCAATTTACACTACAGATGGTAAAGAATAATGTGCCCTACTTAAGTGGTACTTAACCCACTGTGAAAAACAAGGAAGCGTGCTTCACTCTGAAGACAAACATGACCAGATGGAGCGAGCTTTGCACTGGAAGAACCTGCCCTCGTCCTTTCATCTCTTGATGAAGACAAGGTCTGATTATATAAGATTAACTTTCTCCTCTTTCTCTTTTCCCATTATCGCCAGAAGCAACGCTTCCAGGCATTTCAGAAAGCAATTTTTTTTAATTTAAAATGTTCTATTTTCAAAATAAAGACAGATTTGGAGACGACTAACATTTTTTTCTCATAGTTTTTAAAAAGCAACAGTACTTGACACACCGTTAACACATCATAAAATTCACTCTTTTAGAGTGTACCCTCAAGCACGTCTTAGTACAGTCACGAAACTGTGCAACCATCACCACCGATCCCAGAACTTCTTCTGATGCCCAAAAGAAACTCATCCACGTTTCCAGCCCCTTTCTCCCTTGGCCCTTCGTCACCACTAAGCTACCTTTCTGAGTTCACACTTCCTTTTTCTGGACATTTCATACTAACAGAATTACATAACATGCAGGCGTTTAGGTTGAGCTTCTTTGGCTCGGCAGGATGTTTTTAAATTCTAGCCCTGCTATCGTAAGAATTAGTACTTCATTCATTTTTCCTGCCCAGTATCAATCCCACTGTATACCAAATCATTATTTATTTAGTGGTTGACACAAATGTTTTCACATGTACTCAGGAATAAAAATATGCGTTCATCTAGAAAGCCCGGCATAGGCATACCGTCGGAGGTGTCTGTCTGCGGGGTGCATCCTTCTGAAAGGTTGAAGGTCCCGTTATCTGTCCAAGATACTTCGGACACGTCTGTGTCAGACACCGATAACTCTTTGGCGGCAACCGTAAGGCTAATCTGCGGTAATAGAAATATGGTGGCACATTTTAAACGGCAGAGGACATTTCCCTGGAAAGTCTACACCTAAGGTCCCAGATGTCATAATAATAAAACCGATGACTATTTTCCTTTGAGGTTGTTCAGAGGACCGAATTGATTAGGAAAATCGCCCAGTTTTGCTCATATAAATAAATGTACAGTCAAACCACAGAAACAAATTGAGAACTAAAAAATACCTTAGGACAAAGAGCAGAAAAGTCTAATTCACTGTCATCTTTGTGACTTTTTTCTTTGTCTGCTTCTGTTGAGAAAAAAATTGGGAAGCTTTCAGTTTCCTGGCAAGCTCAGACCCGTGTACTTATTCTTTTATATATCCTTACCCACATTGCCCATGTCCTTCAGGGATGAGTGTGGTGGCCTGTAATACCAGCATTCTAGGAAGCTGAGACAGGAGGATCACCAAGTTCAACCCCAGCCTGGGCAACTTAGTGACTCAGTAAGACTCTGTCTCAAGATAAATAAATTTTAAAAAGGGCCAGGGACACAGCTTGGTGCAAAGACCAAGCTGGATTCAATCACCAGTATAAAAATATTTGCATATAAGAACCCTTACGTATTTGTAAGACATTTGGTTTCCAAAGGTGATGGCTCCTGTCAGGGGTTCCTGCAGGCGGCAGCAGCGCAGCCCTAGGAACCTCTTAGCCATGCAAACTCTCAGGTCCACACCTGACCTGCCTCAGAGATGGGGTGGGGTGCCCACAGCTCGCTCCCTTTTAAGTCCTCCAGGTGATTCTGATGCATGCTATAGACTGAAAACACATGAGGTCACCCGAAATGTCAAAATGATCACGCTTTCTTCCTCTGGTGACTAGAGCCCTGCTCACATGGCTCCCACAGGCAGCCTTGCCTTGGGCATTTTTATCTGCAATACGGTGAACCAGCCAAAAACTAAGAAACTCATACATGGCAGAGTACACAGGTGGCAAAGCCTTCCTCCCTTAAAACTTGGGCTTTAAAAATCAATTTATATAACTATGCTGAGAAAAGAGTAAAAGCTTAAAAAGGAAAACATCACATATGTTAGGGAGTGGGGGTGACTTCTATGATAATATTTAGTAAGATGCTAAAAGCACCCTAGAATTACTAACAGCCACCTGTAGTAAGGACCTGGGTTGGGTCTGCAGGTGTGCAAGGTGGAGGCGACAGCAGAATGGCTCTGACACCTCCGCCCTCGTTGCAGGTGCCCCCTTCCTGCCCAACACCACGTGGCTCAGGCTCGGGCTGTGTTCAGAGCGCAAGCGTGGTGACCGTTTAAGGGCTGTCTGTGCTGCAATGTCTATTCACCTTTAATGTATCTCATGTTTTTCATCTCCCTTCAAGACCAAGGACACCAGCTGGGTGTAGTAGTGCACATTCTTTAATTCCAGCACACTGGGAGGCGGAGGTGGGAGAATCACAAGTTCGAACCCCGCCTGGGCCATCTAACAATTTAGGAAGAAACTGTCTCAATCCATCAATCGGTCAGTCAATAATAGAGCTAAGAATAAAGCTCAGTGCAAAGGCCCTGTGTTCAATCCCCAGTACTTCAGCCACCACCAAAAGTGAGAGAGAGAGACACAGACAGACAGACAGTCTGAGGTAAGGAAAAGTAACTCAAGTCATTTTCAGGATTCACATCATCTTGCAGCCAGCTCCCACAACATCCAGTTACAGGCTCCAGAGCCAAGGCCTAGACCTTTCAGGTCCTCAATCTCACAGCCTCCCACCGTCGCCCCAGCAGGAACAATGCCCCAGGGTGGGAACTGAGCTGGCCTCACGGCAGAGGAGGAGTCCTGAGGAGCCGGCAGACCAGACACAGCCGTGCGGACCTTCGACTTTGCCTCTGATGCCCTGGGTCTCTGTCACATCCTGAGCCCCCTTACCGGTGCCTCCCAGCCCGGCCGTGCTGACCCATCCCCTTTCCTGCCTTTGCCACTGCTGACCCTGGTGGGCTTTCTGGGGTGGGCAGCCGGGCTGGTCCACCGGGACACCCAGAGCAGGCCTTTGCCCTTGGCAGCCACCTCACAACAGATTTCTCATCTCAAGCACGGACTCTTAAGATGCAAACTTTACTCACCAGATCTCTCACGCTTCTTTTGATTAATATATTCTCCGATTCCGAAGTCTAGTTTCAACAGAACGGACTTGATTTTGCTGTATATCTTTTGTCCGATATCATTACATTTAAACAGTGGACATAAAAATGCAAACAGCACTGAAACACAAGAAGGAAGAAGCACAGGTAACGCACCTCTCCTCGTTCACTATTTCACAAAACACTAAACTTCCTTTCCTGAAAAACAGAAGTTGCTTTTTTTGTTAAGGAAAATGCCTCTTCGAAATAAGTTCCTAATTTCTATTCTTCTCTTGTAATGAGAACATGTTTTAGTGCATACCACACGCATGTACATACACACACACACACACACACACACACACACACACACACTATGGTCACAGTCACTATTTTCAGACTTGTAACTAGATCACCCTTCTCCCCTTTCACCCTGAAAACTTCCAGGAAGTGTATCTGTTTGCCAGACAACTGTCCTGGGCTAGACCCTCAGACTGCTTATTGCGTGGGGATAACCCGCGCAATGACTGAGGGGAACCCGCTTTAATCTCTCAGTCTGCTGTCAGTGACACTGGGTAATACAGTGCTTGATGCTGGTCTGCTACCTGACATACATTCAAACCATCTGAAAAGGACGTTCCTCGTATCTCTCCTCCCCTGCACTCTTCTTCTTTACCTCCTAAATAATGCTGCTCAAGAGGCTGAAGCTTTAGGTGAGTTCTGTCTGGGACACTTGATCTGAGCGCCACCAGGGCCATTTGTGCTATGTGTTAGGAATACAATCACCATGCAGGATTCATGGTATTTCCGTGTTTATGTCCTGGTTGTTGTTAGGGGATGTTGCCTATTGCCTTTTAAGGCAGGAGTTATAAAATGTAAGTATCTTTAGCATCTTTATGTAAATGAGTCAGTTGAGGCTGCCTGCCTCATCAAAAAGGCTGCAGCATCAGATTTTCTGTTTCTCAGAAAAGCAGAAAACCCATACTTTATAATGGCATTTTTTAAAGTTATAGTTGATTTACAAAAAACTGCACACAACATGCATAATATGATAAATTTGACATATGCATTTAAGCAAAAAACCATCACCAGGGGCAAGATATCTACAAGCCACACACACAGACATATACAAACTCTCCTCTCCTCTCCTCTCTCTCTCCATGTTTTTGTTTTTTTTTTGTTGTTGTTGTTGTTTTTGAGACAGGGTCTCACTGTGCAGTTCAGGCTGGCCTTGAGCTCACTTTGTAGGCTAGGTTGGTCTCCAACTCTTAACAATCCTCCTGCCTTAGCCTCCCGAGTGCTGGGATTACAGGCGTGAGCCACCACGCCCGGCTCTCTCTCCATGTTTTTGCTAATCTTTTCCTTCTGGATCCTGGCTCTCCCTACCTCCATCCAGGTCAGCCGCAGGCAACCACTGATGTGCTTGGTCATTAAACAGCATTTTGACTTTTCTAAAACCTCTGTATGTGGCTTCTTCCACTCAGCCTTTGATTTGAGATTTAGACTAGTGTTGCATGGGTCAATGTTTAGTGCTCAGTAATAATCCATTATATGGACATACCACACTTCATTTATCCATTCATCTGCTGATGGCATATGGACTATGTTACACTTCATGCTATTATAAATACCTCAGGGCTGGGAATTTAGTTCTGCAGCACAAGGGCCTGCTTGGCAAGCAAAAGGTCCTGAGTTCGATCCCCAGTTCCAAAAAAAATACTATAAATAACTGAGCAATGAACATCTGTGTCTAAGTCTCTGGAGATGGACGTTTCTCCGTCTCTTGGGTAGCTACTCAGCTGTGGGATGGCCAGGTCACACAGCAGAAGCTGTCTCCTCACAAACACTGGGTGAGAATTCCACTTGCTCCGTACTCTTCCTAATCCTGCCTATGGTCAGTGGTGTAATTTGAGCTCTTCTGGCAGAAGTACATACCAGGATATCTCCTCACTGGAGTTCTACCTATTTAGTACAGAAGATGCAAAGAGGCAAAAGCACTGGTATATTTGTGGGTGGGGCATGCAGCTTATTTACAGTTTTACTGACATAATAAAGTAAAAGATTCACTTTCAATCTGCCTTTTGCATATCTTCCTAACATATATCTAGAAAAAAAGAGAAACTTTACATGGCAAGAGATTGAGGAATAATCAACTTATCACGAAGAACTCAAGCCTCCCCTTCCACTACAGAAAGTCTGTTGGCCACAAAATGATGAGTTTGCGTCACAGAAATCGCCACAGGCTCTGCTATACTTACACAGCAGGTAGCTGAGTATAATCCCAGGGATGTAACTTCCCAAGATCGTAAAAAACGTGCAGACGCTGCAGACCAGGAGGCAAAACTGCAAGAAACGTAAACAGAACAGGACAATTACATGCCACAGAAAGACATTCAGAGCACCAAACACACACATCATCCTTTTACACCAGGCGTATTGGACAATGGCAAATGGCTCCAAATAGCAATCTTTCCTCACTTAGGGACATTCAGCAGGCCTAAGTTCACTTTAATACTGCGAAACAATCATTTTGGAGGCAGAGGGGCTAATTTCTGTGACTGAAAATAAGGACTCCCATTAGTGGCTGAATTACGGCCACATGCAAGAGATCCGAAGTGGAAAGTAGCTTCCCCGAAACCCTGTCCTGGTGTCATTTAATGAAAGCGATGCTGCTTGATACAGTCAAATCTGAAATGTCAAACTGCTGCTGGAAGGCTATAGAAATGTACTAAGCAACCCGTGTTAGAGAAATTAGAGGCATCTATACAAACCTAGTGTTATTTGCACAGCAGTAAACTTCTGCGATCAATCTATGGCCATTACAATCCTCCTTTCTAATGATTTTCACTTTTCTTGACTGCCTATTAACCAACTGCAAATGAAGTGAAACTCTTACGGTGAAATTTTATTATTTCCATTTTCTCTGCTTATCATAACGACAAAATCTTGGTAGTTTTAAGAAATTTTAAAACAAGCTACAGAAAATTGTCTTGCTACCCATTAGAAACATCAAGACAGAAGAACGCTCCCCTTAAATTCTTCACTTAATTTCACACTTCAGTCTACATCTTTGTTTTTGTCTTCATACCGAGGTACTAGGGTATGCCGATAAGCAAGGAAAATTCACTCAGGGACTTCCAAAAAGCTCCATGAAGAAGGGACACATACCTCTCACAATACCTGATTAAGGGAAAGGGCAAGGGGTCTAAATTCCAGGTTAACTTCATTCTTTGGCATGGGTTAATAGATTAACTAATGAAGCAAAATAGATGAATTTGTAGAGCAAAATTAAGAGCTACTTGTGAGATACCAAATGCCCTTGGAAGAAAATGGAACTCTAGAAATGAGACAGACGACATAAAGCTATACAGATGCAAAAAATAACAGCCAGTGATGGCTGACAATGTCTAGAACTAAGTCTTGGGAAAGGATTTTTATAAACCCCTAGATTTTGAAGCAACCTTACCCTCAGCTAACGGACTCAGATGCACTGAGGCAACCCAGTGTGGAAATGTGAAGTTTATGACCTTTCAAAAATACCTTTAACCACTTCAGTAAAACAGATCCTGCCTGCTGCTATGGTTTAGACCTAAGATGTCCTCCAAGAGTCTCACTCGGAGATGGATGCTGCTCAGTTGGGGTGGCTCTCTGGGGGGTGTGACCTGGAAGGGTGTGTTTTGGTCCCCAGCTCCTCCCTTCTCTCTCTGCTCCCTGGCGGCCATGCTATGAGCCATGCCAGGCCCCTTTACCATGCTGTTTCTGTATTGGACTCAGCCATCTATGGACGGAACCCACTAAACCATGAGCCAAAATAAACCTCTTCTCCTTTAGGTGGTGAGTTCTGGGTATTTTATCCCAGCTATAGGAAAGCTAATTAATTTACCTGCCATATGAAGATCTACTGTAAAACCTATCTCCAGTGATTTATTGTTAAAAAAAAAAAAACAGAACACAAGGCTACTTCAATATGCTCAGAATATTTCCAGGCACAGTTCTGTTATCTGACACTAATGAAGCCATGAAGTTGTCCATGTGCAGCACGTGGACAGGACTCTAGTGCTGCATTTCCAGCCTCCCAAGCTGAGAGGTCATCCCACCTGTGAAGTGGCCCTAGGCCCGAGAGATGGAGCAGAGCACAGCTGGAATGAGTCACGCAGGCAGCAGTGACATCCTCTCCTGAGCCCCAATCTGTCCTGCTGGAGGGTGGAAAGTGCCCAGAGCAGTCAGTGAGCCGGGCCAGGCCACCGTGAACAGCAGCCGAGGTCTGTGGATGCTTTAGTACCTCACACAGTCGCCCAGGCTGCCGGCCACAGTCAGAGCTGCCCGAGTCTGTGCAGTAACACAGCGTCCACTGCCCCAGGTAACTCCTGCCTTTGAAGACTCCTCCCCGGGGGGTTTCACCTTAACTGCGTACACTTCTACGTACACCAGCAGTACTAGTGTTTTGGTGAAAATTCTTCTTTCTTAAATCATACAAGAAGCCCCGCTTTTTAGATCAGCAGTCAGGCTCTGTGACCTCTGAACACAGCCCGCAGGACTGCATGTTTCCCTTTGACTTTTCAGAACCAGGCAAAATACATAAATGAAATTCTTTTTTTTTGGGGGGGGGTGGATTTTTTGAGACAAGGTCTTACTGTGTGGTGCAGGCTGGTCTCAAACTTGTGGTGATCCTCCTGCTGCAGCCTCCTCAGTGTCGGGCTTACAGGCACATACCAGCATGCCCAGCTTTGATTAACTATTAATAAGCCTCTTTGTTTTTTCCTCTTTGGCTTGGCTGTTAAGACTGAGCACCATTCATTCCAATTAATAGCCCAAATAAAGAGGTATAAAATATAAACCTAGGGCTGGGGATTTAGCTCAGCATCATAAGTGCTTGCCTTACAAGCACATGGTGGTGAGTTCGATCCCTGGTACCAGTTAAAAACAAAATAAAATAAAATGAAAAATAAACCTAATATAATTTCCAGGCATGAGGGTGAAGGTTCTCTGGTGTTGTCATATGCTAACATTTCTGAGCCCAGTTGTTAATGGCTTTTAGGACACGGGCACCTCATGCGTTCAGAGTCGGAGAACCTGAGAAGCCCATCAAAGAGGTCAGTTCATTTGTTCCCAAGTACATGGCACATGTGAAAACATCCTTCTTTCCAAGGAAACTTGCCTTCCCAGGACTTTGCTGTTTAAAAAGAGACATTTCTTGAAGAAATATACTGAAGTTCATCCAGGATTCTGCAATGCAATGGCTGAGTCTGGGTCTTTCATCCGGTTTGGAATTGATAACTTCCCAGCTGCAGAGAGAAACAGAAGGCAATGTAACTGGACTTGGCCTGAGTCACCCATACTCCCGGCTTCAGCAAACGCACACTTAGCAATCATCTTCTGAGGGTGTCGCTCCCTGAAAAGCCCTGTAAATCCCTGTGAACACAGAGGTGCATTTTCAGACTTCTGCCCCAGGGAGCTCGCAGCGGAGAAGCAGCAACACACGGCACAATCAACCATCGGATCACTGCGAAGGGAACCCAGTGTGGGCGCAGCTGGGGCTCTGGGGTGTCTTCTCTGAAGGAGTCATTTGCCAGCTCAGATCTGGAGCAGACTTGCAGCTACCATCCGTGTTCCAGATAAAGCCAAGCACCACACGCGCAGAGGCCTCAGGATGGGGGCACTAGAAGTGCTACCCCATTGTGCCCCGAGGTGGACAAGGGGACCAGGAGAAGAAGCAAACAGCCTAGGGGACGGGGATGATCTAGCCTGCGGGAGGCTCACAGGACTCGCTAGAAACTCGTTAACCCTCAAGAACTACTAAAGAAACCTGGACACTGAGCGTCTCACTGCTATGACTGACGACACACCCACAATGGTCTTGTGTTTCCAACAGCTGCAGTGACCACTCCACTACAGGAAACGGTTAAACTCCATGGGATCATCATCTAGAACATGTGGAAAGTGACTCACAGGCCAGAACACTCGTGTGTCCCTGTCCCTATTTTGAAGGCGGTGCCAGGAACTATAGAGGTGGTGACACATGAGGGCAATGAAGCAGCTGTTAGCAGAAGACAAGGGCTGTCAGCAATCAACCGAACAAGCTGTGGCTGCAAGGGCATCGGGTTAGGGAACTAGAAGAGTCCACGGTTGTTTGCATAGAGCCCTGAAACAAATAAAGCAGCCTTGGTCTTTAGATGCTCGGCCACAATGAAATTGAGTGCATGCAGATTCTATTACTCTTTAACAGATTTTGATTAATAACACAATTTGTAAGTTATAATTCCTTTTCTTTTCAACTATAAATCTTAAGCCAAGCTTAATGACTGCAAAGCATTAAAACAAGAGGGAAAAATGCATTCCATTTTCCTTTCTCTCCCGCTCAGTAATGTCCTGCCAGAGGGTAACTCAACTGTCAGTGGTCCAGTTCCCACCAGGTGGACACCTGCCCACTGACTTCAGGCCTGTCACCAGAAGGGAACATCTGGAGATGCCACACACACCACGGACCACTCGGTGTATTTAGCCACTAACTCTACCTCTTCTTGAGTCCAAAGTGCCTATTTCCATGGTGATCAAATCCTGTACCCAGTTCATATACCCAGGCACAATTCCAGACCTATGAAGAAAACACTAAGAAGCCGCTGTGACAAATACCAACATTTTTGCCCAGTGGGAAAAAGTTTTCACAAGAGAACCAAAGCTGCATGGCCAAGGAAAGGTAAGGTTATGAAACTGTGGTCTCTTTTCTCAGTAAACACAGACACATGACACACCATGGCACAGCCAGGCAAGGCTCCTGCTTGGTTTCGTGGGACCGGGGGCGGGGGGTAACAGGGACACAGATTTTCATTTCTGCTGTCTGTTTTGTATAACAGCTAAGATTCTGAGCAGCAGTTTGGGCGACAGAATTGTAACAAAAATCAAAACCTTAAAATGACTTGAATGTCAAATTTTAATGATGGAAGAATTAACGAACATTTAGCGTATTGTTATATATTTACAACATACTGCCATTAAGAAAGCGAACAGGGGCCTGGTAGTGCGCATACCCGTGTCAGACTCTGGGAGGCTGAAGCAGGAGGATCACAAGTTCATCAACTTGCCTGTTCTAGCAATTCAGCAAGGTAGTAAGGCCCTGTCTCAGTAAATAAAAAAGGTTGGGGGTGTAGCTCAGTGTAAAGACCCTGGGTTCAGTCCAGTATAAAAAAGAAAAAAATAGGGTATGCTCTGATCAAGCAATGAGAAAACGCAAGTAAAAATATGAATGAATTCAAACCTCATGTTTGTATATCCACCTTTGCAATCACGTTAATAAAGAAAAACTACCCAAGAAATATGTGCGTGACAATTTTATTTATGTAAAGCTTAGAATCACAGTAGGCGGGACAGGTTATTTAAGCACTAGTGCGATTAAAACAAACCTCAAGAGTGGCTTCGGGGTGGAGATTACGCAGCCACTGTTAATTTGGGCAGCGATTACACAGCACCACCTTACTGCTCTCGAGGCTGCCCACATGTGTATGTGTGCATAACGCATGTGCCATTTTATGCAAAAATGTTTTGTCTTCCAAGCGTTTAACCAAGCTTTGCAGTTCATGAATAAACACTCACAGGAGTGGACCCTGCCTCCCATTCCACCATCCAGCACTAAGTTGCCCTCAAACCCTCATCAAAGTAGCTCCACCCCACAGCAGCCCCTGTGTCGCCGTCCAGCAAGTCCCTTCCAGGTGCCATGTCCCTGACTGCAGCCTAGGGACGACCACCCTAGAGCTGGACATCACTTGCTGAGACCCATGAGGACAGCCAGGAAAGGCACAAAGATGCGTTCCCCAGGGACCCTTCCTGCTTTGGGCCCTAAAAAGCCAGTGGCTTAGCACAGGGGGACTGGACGGGGTGCACCCACCAGCCATCACTGCCCTGCACCGGAAGGAAGCCCCAGGAAGCTCAGTCCCTCCTCCAGCTGGGCACAGCTGAGCTGCGCTTCGCACTGTCCACCCCCGTGTGAAGGCAGACGTTTCCTTCACACATGTCCAAGTACAAACGTTACCAGCTCTCCCCAGTTCATTTATATGTGAGGTAAAAAAAAAAAAAAAAAAAGCATGAAAAATCATATTTATTTTACCAATATTTTATCAGTGCACTAGGTATCACACTATCACTGAGCTATGCCTCCAGCCCTGGAAAATCATTTTCTAATTTTAAAGAGGAAAAAAATTAAAACAATGATACAGAATTTCAAAGAAGATAATGAGATTAACAGTGGTTCACATATTGCATATTGTTATCTTCAAAGTAGTTGCTGAGATTACAAGATATAGGCATGAAAAACTGATCAAATAACATAAGCACAAACCATTCTTTTCAACGAACTAATAGAAATTAGTATCATTATCTTAGCTATCTTGTATGCTTGTTTGTTTTATCTTCCCTTCCTTCTTTTCTCCTTTCCCGCATCCCAGCTTTTCTTTTCTTTTAAGCAGTTCTGAAAAAGCATTTCTTAAAACAAATGGTACATATTACAACTTTGTTCTAATGCTACCTTTAGGATAAAGTCTCAGAGACAATATCACATTTGTATACATATTCTGTATTACTCTGTAAGGAAATTTCCTGAACCTGGAAAGGTGGTAAATAATCGGTTACCACTGTAGGGATAATGTCAAGCAGAGACCTCATATAATGTAAGGCGCTTCACACAGATCTCAGTGAAATAAATAAAAATTCCCTTTTGCATTTAAAGGTCGTATGTTTTTTCCATTGTAGACATCATCTACCCATTAACTTATTCATTCATTCAATAAATATGTATCAAGGCCCCCTCTGCATCTTGCATTATGCTAAATGTGTCAAACGTTATTTAGAAGCCTAAAATACCTGCCAAACTTTTATCACTGACACTACTACTTGCTGGGAAGAATGAGGGACTATCCAACTGTGACTACTGTCCACAGCTGTAGGACAGCAGTTACCTTACATTTCTTCACTCTGAGAAAGTCTCAAGGGACTTGGAACAATAAACTCCAATTACTCTGGAATTACTTTGGAACAACAAAATCTCATGGTTACATTTACATTAACATAACAAATAATTCTCATTGGTATTTGAATTATTATGATCCCAAACAGAAATGAGAAATTCACTGCACACAACTTAACATGTTATCTAACCAAATGGGTTTTGGCAAGACTAATAAATGTTGGAGGTAAAAATCAACCTTCAAACAATACTGGATAAAACTGAATGGAAACATATGTTTTCCAAAAGAAAATCTGAATTCAAAGATGGAGAGTTGTCACTGTACACTTGAAATAAGAGATGGACCCAAAAGAATTGTTCCCTGGCAGTTTAAGAATTGTTTGAAATTGTCCAGAGATTGTTTCTGAATACCATGGGAACACATTTCTGCAATTTCTCATCAACTTACATCAACACTACTCAGTCTGATGACAGAGTTATAGAATTGGATGAGATGGAACATTTAATGTCAACTTTTCAAAACCCTTATTTAATAGATGAGAAACACTGAAACCGCCCAAGTTTTCTCAGTTTGGGGCAGAGTCAAGACCCAAGACCAAGACTCCGATTTCCAACACACTCCTACTCACAGAACAGAACCCATGTGAACATGCACGTCTTCCTCATCATCCGATGGCTGACTCACGGGTTCCTCTGGTAAGACCATGCTGTAGTTAGAATGAGTAGAAATGCATCGCCCTTCTCCTGCTCCCTCCTACAATGAGTGAGATGAGTGTGACGGCCAACATCACACAGCACGATGCGGGACCAGCCCTTTCCAGGAAATCCGAGCACTGAGTGCAGAATCCAAACACTCAGTGGAAACTAAGACCCAGGCTCAGAGCTGGTGGACGTTTCACCTGCAGGTGACGTCGCACACGTGCAGAGGGTCTCCACAGTGAAACTCTGGGTTTTCCTAGAGAGCCTTGTTTGGGAAACACACAGCTAGAGAAAGATGTTTCTCTCTGCACCTGGGCAGTTATCAATTCCAAATTGGATGAAAGACTCAGACTCAGCCACTGGATTGCAGAATCCTGGATGAACTTCAGTGTATTTCTTCAAGACATGTCTCTTTTTAAACAGCAGAGTCTCAAGAAGACAGTTTCCTTAGAGAAGAGGATGTTTTCAAATGTGCCATGTACTTGGGAACAAATGAACTGATCTCTTTGATAGGTTGTCAGGTTCTCCAGCTCTGAATACATGAGGTGCCCGTGCCCTAAAAACCGTTGTCAGCTGGGCTTGGAATGTTTACCGCAGTTTGTGGAGGTTTCAGTCTATCATTAGCTAACT